GTTCAGCAGACAAAAGGGGTCTCTTGGAACCAGTCCCACAGTCACAGTGATTATGCTCTTCCGGGGGTGAGGTGAAGGGCTACAACGCTGGCACAATTCCAGGGTGGTCTGTCACATGATCTATATACTAAAATGGCTTCATTAAGAAAAAGTTGTTTTGGTGACTATAGCATCCCTTCAAATAGCATGGCTTGGGCTAATGCAGCAGGTGTTGAGTTTATAAAGATATGTTCACGTAATATTTAGAATTCAGTCAAAGATTTATGGAACATATTAAGGTTTAGGATGTGATTTAGGCCATAGGTATGGGGCTGGTTTTTAGTCAATTTATGTAAAAGGGGCCATCAAAATCACTTCTGGTCTTTTTTTCACATGCAAACTCAACACTCAGGCTGAGGTAGGGGTTTTCAATGATTCTTGCACCGTGGCCTGATAAGTGTGCCCTCATAAAGATAGCATATGGGTTGAATAGGAACTCAAGGAACAGATTCAAATGTTAGATTCTCTTTTACAACATAAAGCACCTGCTTATTTTTTTTTAAATACCTGCTAAATTGTAGATGCATATTTTATTTTAAAAAATGGCTACAAAAATCCTACTTCTACACGCAGAAAATCCACAATAATCAGTGATGTGTTTGTGGCTAGGTCTGATGAGTACAACATATTTCAGTTTGTGTTAGAAATAGTTGTTAGCTCACCATTGCAGTCGTTAATGTTGTTTTGGGAAGCACGCCATTGAAATTCTACTGTCTTTAAAATGTAGGCATAGTTGTGGGTCAGTGAAAAAATGAAAGAGGTAAAAAAGCTCTTTTCTTTTCAAGACCTTAGCAATATATTGTTTGGAAGAAGAAATCTGCAAGTTCAAATCAGGGCAAGAATAAACAAAAGGTTTTTGTCCTGCATTTTGCTATCTAATCTCTGTTTTAAATCACTAAATCCAGGGCACCTTGTTATGGCAGAAGTTTAGCTTCTACTGATGGATTAAAGGTGGCAAAAATATTTCCTTGCAAAGATACAGGGAAAGATATTGGAAGATCTACTGTGTATTTTGCGGCACTTTAGACTTCACTATTTTTGCATGTGTGAAATTCCTTAAATCTTCTTTGCTCTTCCAGCCAATCCTACGTTTCTTTCAACAAGTATAAATTCCCGGCACAGATTTGCAGTAACACAATCCATATGTATACTAGAAAAGTGATACTTTAAACAAGAAACCTTATTCACATACATTTTAGTAGATTTAAGTTGCTGGTGGTAAATAACAAGTTGTTCTGAGTTCCAAAAGATTTGATCATTTATTAATTATTACTATAAAGAATTATTATAAACCCATGATATGGTATGTTAAGTTGGCTGAAAAAGTGAAGTCTACAAGAATTTAGGCACAAAGAGAAACTAAGCATCTTAACCTCTTCACCAAACTAATAGAAAAAATATTAGTATATTATTAGTATAACATTTATTTGAAATATGGGATGCAAAACTAGCACATAAACATGTAATAATACGGTAACGTTGTGTAAACATTGCTTTTCAAACAAACTTATGCAATGATGTGATGTTTTGTCCACTTGGCAATACTTTTTAATTAAAATATAAAAAACAAAAACAAATAGAAAAATAAACATATTAAAACCCCATACAAATCCTCCATATGTATATCCACTCACTTATGCTTTGTTTGCAAAGGTTTTCTACCATGATTTTCCAATGTTGTATAAGTAATATTGATCTAAACAATATGTTCATTTGGGTCTAATAATTACAAAGGCAATTGTCTAAGATTGGAACTAAAACTTGAGCCATACAGGTATGTTTGTTCAACCATGGTATAGCTCTTTCATATTAATTGTAGCCACACCTATTATATCATTTTGTTCAGGAGAAATAATTCAATATGAATCTAAAAAGTGTGAGAAATTAAGAAATAAATATTTTCCAAGTTCTGCAACAAAGTCCCCCATGTACAGATTTTATGGTGATTTGGAAAGTTACAGGGTCAAACATAGGACTTGACAATTTCAGTTTTTACACATTATAATTTGCCATATTGAAACCATATGGCAGCCCATAGAATGAAAATTACCCCCATCATGGCATACCACTTGTAATAGTAGACAACACAGGGTATTCAAAACAAGGTATGTTAAGTCTTCTTTGGTAGCCACTTTGTCACAAACCCTGGCCAAATTTAGTGTTTATAAATAAATTATTTTTTGAATTAAAAAACAATAAATTATTTTTTGAATTTCAGCTGCCTGTCTTACCTGTGGACACCTACCAGTACTGGAACCTTGAGACTATTTACGTAGAGACTGGCACGGCCCCATACTTGTGAGTGAAACCATATACACACTCATTGTATATTGTATTGTAATAGATTACACTATGTATGTTTTATCTATTTCCTTTTAGAAACAGTATTCCTGTACTAATGAATACTGTTAAGTATAAGTTATTATTTTTATCCTTCTATTCCAACACAGGGTGCTGTGCATTTTATAGTGGTTTTACCTCTATGTGTTTTTTGTTTATTTATGTCTTAAGGTGTAAGGGAAAACATCTTAATTGCACGTTTACCCACTGTGTGTTATTTGAAGCGCCTATGCACCTACTGGTTTCCAGTATTAGCTTGTTGCAAATTAAATTGCCTGATGTTTGATATTTTTATTTGTTATGAATTATTGTTTTTTATATACACATACATATACATGTATCATTCTACATATATTAATATCAAAATACACTTAGAATGAAATTTTATATATATATCAAATAAAATATTTTGTTGTTAAAATATGTATATAACTGAATAATTTTAATGATAGCAGATGGCAACCTGACAAGTGAGGCAGTCCACTTGCAGCCAGTCCTGGAGATTCGATTCCTGTGATCGCGGTGTCGGGTTAGATTGGTTGCAGGGGGACTGCCTGGGTTGTCATGCAGGTCCCCTGATCGCGAAGCTAAGTTAAGTATTTGTACCAAAGGGAGGGCAGATTGTTGTTCTATGCTGCCTGAACGACATTAAAGCCTTCCTTTTGTAGGATGGCATCGCACACCCTAACAAACAATTGGAGTAGCCCCCAAAATATTGGGACATATACAAAAAGAAAACAAAGAATAAGTGCACTTGAGTATAATAATGGCTGGGTGAGGCCGATATAAATGTCTATTCTGCACAAGGTACAGACAAGTCTGGTGGGATCCATGCCTGGTTCATTTTAATAAATGTGAGCTTGTCCACGTTGGCTGTGGACAGACGGCTGCGCTTATCTGTGATAATGCCCCCTGCCATGCTAAATACACATTCAGACAATACACTGGCTGCAGGGCAGGCCAGCACCTCCAAGGTATAAAGGGCAAGCTCAGGCCATGTGCCCAATTTGGAGACCCAGAAGTTGAATGGGGCAGACCCATCAGTCAGTACGTGTAGGCGTGTGCACACTGTTCCACCATGTTGCTGAAATGCTGCCTCCTGCTAAGACGTTCTATATCAGCTGTACTGTTCCACCATGTTGCTGAAATGCTGCCTCCTTATAAGACGTTCCATATCAGCTGGCAGTGCTGGTTGTTGTGGCGTGCTTGTAACGGACCGTTTTGCACACAAGGGGTTAAAACCATTTAGGCGATCGTCCCCTTTCAGAGATGCAGGCACAGCTACTGTAGGACACCAAACTCCCGAACCGCAAATAAGGGAATGCTCCAAACTCCCGAACGGCATACAATATAGCACTCCAAACACATGAACTGGAACCATACGAATCGCTGCTAGCAGACGAATAGGAAAAAACATCCGAATAGGTTTACACTCCTAGCAGTCAGTCTCTATCAGCATTCAGTAAATCCCCCAAAGACGAGACAAGGCTCCGTGTTGACGGTTAAGCAGTGATCTGTTTAATGAGGGCTACCGGCCCAGTATTACTGCAGGTCTCCCACCTGGTGGACACTCCCCTAGGGGACCAAATGGGAGACTGTGACAAAAGACAGACAATCAGCCAAACAGGACACACAGTCACATTATATTCCCACAATGCATCCTGGCTTCCTCCCCTCTGCCTTGGAGATAATTGAGAAGTAATTCAATTATCTCCCAAGACAAAGGCAAATCACCATTATGCACGTGGGGATACTAAAACATGAATTACTATTAAAATACACAGTATGACACAAGTTACAATAAAACTATACATTTAGCATGTACCCAGATAGCTCAGGTCTGAGCGCACATTATTAAGCGAATGGCGCTCAGACCACACGAATACAGTGTAATCGCCATGGAGCCAAAGTCTTTACACAGTCAGTTCTCATGCGAATGGGCTCCATGGGATTTCTATCTGGGGTATAACATAATCAAGTAAAACAACTGAACACCGGGCCGTTCGTGCACTTTCACCGAACAAGAAGGGAGGTCGGCGGCCTCAGCGGTTTTCGCGCAAAACTGTGTACGATTTTAGTTCCATGAATTAAGCGTCGAACACCGCTGTGCATTCGCGTGTTTAAAATGGCCACGACCTTGTGTTCGGTATACGAATGGCGGCCACCCAGCATTCGCCAATTAAGCTGCGGTTAACCGCAGCTTCAGGGAGGTTAATTGCCGGCACACTCTAGCTCCCAGGTGTTCTAGTCATTCGTGCGGTTGTTCGGTAGATTGAATCTACCGAACACGGGCAGAAAAGCACGAATAAGTCTTTTCTGCAGGGAAAAAGATGTCTTTTAACATGGGGCCATAGTCCAATGGCAGCAGGCGAGCAACCAGGCTTCTCCAATGCAATGTGGCGAGATTTCTCTCGTCACAGTGCTGACAAAGATTTTTCACATTTCGGCCATGCTAACCCTGCCTTCTGAGGTGCTGGTCGTGCCCCAGCTGCGTTGGCGACCTCTTCCTCCTCCTCTGCCTTCGCCTTGTGCTTCCACTGAGCCCCCGGTGTCAGTTGGGAATGCCCTCAGCAGCGCGTCTACCAGCGTGCGCTTGTAGTCGCGCATCTTCCGATCACGTGCCAGTGAGGGAATTAAGGACGGCACATTGTCCTTGAAACAGGGATCCAGCAGGGTGGCCACCCAGTAATCAGCACAAGTTAGAATGTGGGCAACTCGGCAGTCGTTGCGCAGACACTTTGGTGACTTTAGGACACATCGGGCCGACCGCACGTCCCTGTGACGGCGACGACGCATTCGGATGTCTGCCCTTTCAACTTTTGATGGTACTTTCTGCGCCTACCATGGTGACCATGGGTAACGGGGAATCAGGGTTCGATTCCGGAGAGGGAGCCTGAGAAACGGCTACCACATCCAAGGAAGGCAGCAGGCGCGCAAATTACCCACTCCCGACACGGGGAGGTAGTGATGAAAAATAACAATACAGGACTCTTTAAATCCTTTAACGAGGATCTATTGGAGGGCAAGTCTGGTGCAGAGAGACTGACCCATGCGTGCTGAAGCTGAAACTCTACTCTCACCTGCTGCTGCTCGCACAGTCTCTCCAGCATGTGCAAGGTGGAGTTCCACCTTGTGGGCATGTTGCATATGAGGCGGTGAGCGGGAAGGCCGAAGTTACGCTGCAGTGCAGACAGGCGAGCAAAAGCAGGGTGAGAACTCCGAAAGCGCACACACATGGCCCGCACTTTCTGCAGCAGCTCTGATATATCTGGGTAGTTTTTCAGGAATTTCTGCACCACCAAATTCAGCACATGCACCAGGCAAGGGATGTGCGTCAAACCGACTAGGCCCAGAGATGCTATGAGATTTTGTCCATTATCGCACACCACCAGGCCGGGTTTGAGGCTCAGTGGCAACAACCACTTATCGGTCTGTTGTTCCATGCCCGTCCACAGCTCCTTCACCACCAACTTCAGCACAGCCTGCTTTCGTTTCCCCCTGGCTGTGCTGAAGTTGGTGGTGAAGGTGTTATGCTGACTGGATGAGGAGGTGATAGAGGAGGAGGAGGAAGCGGAGTAGGAGGATGAGGCAACAGAAGGCAGAGAGAAATGCCCTGCAATCCTCGGTGGCGGAAGTACATGCGCCAAACTGCTATCCGCCTCAGGCCCAAACTAACAGATGGTTTATGTCAGACGACAATGTAACCGCCAATAGTCAACAATTAAGTTCAGTGACAGTAAGGCAGTGCCGGTGTCCTAAAGAGAAAAAATTTCTAGAGGTCACACGACAGTGTGACAGGCGTAATTAATACAGTTACTTCACTGTCTCAAAAAAGTGTGATTTTTTAAACCAACAATGTAAGAGCAGTATTTAAATGTTCTATTTAGCACAAAAAAGTGTGATTTTTAAACCAACAATGTAAGAGTAGTATTTATTGGACTGCAAAAAATGCACCACAGGCCACAAATTTTCTATTTAGCACAAAAAAGTGTGATTTTTTAAACCAACAATGTAACAGGCATGGCTGTGATTTAAGGGTTTTATTGGACTGCAAGAAATGCACCGCAGGCTGCAAATATACTATTTAGCAGGAAAACAATTTGAATTTTGACGGTTCTATTTGACTCTCAGATATGAAGTGCATGCCCCAAATTTACTTTTTAGCACCAAAGAAATGTGCATTTTTCAAAGTGTGATGTAACCACAGTATTTGACGGTTCTATTTGACTTTCAGATATGAAGTGCACGCCACACATTTACTTTTTAGCACCCAAAAAATTTGAATTTTTCGAAGTGTGATGTAACCACAGTATTTGACGGTTCTATTTGACTCTCAAATATGAAGTGCACGCCACAAATTTACTTTTTAGCACCAAAAAAATTTGAATTTGTCAAACTGCAATGTCACAGCAGTATTTAAAAATGCCTAGATGTTGCCCACTGAGCTACCAGAACGGGATTAAAGTAATGTGCCAGGCACACATGCAGTTGCAAGTGCCCACCTAATAAACAGACTGATTGCTTATTTCTCTGTGACAGTGGGCTCAGGGCAGGGTACAAAAATGTAGTATAGCACCCACAAAAATTATCGCTGTAGTTTGCAGATTCAGCACCAGAATTCTTTCCTAATCTGTCCCTCACAGCTGCAGCATCCTCTCCCTCCACTAATAAGAGCTCATGTGACTCCAGCTTATATAGAGGCTGGGTCACATGCTGCACTGGCCAATCACAGCCATGCCATTAGTAGGCATGGCTGTGATGGCTTCTAAGGGCACACGAGTTAAACGCTTGTTGATTGGCTACCCTGCAGCTTTTCAAAATGTGCCATTAAATCGCCGAACACCGAACTTGAACCCGAACTGTTACTGAAATGTCCGGGTTCAGGTTCGGGGTCCAAAAATTGTAATGTTCAGGTTCCCTCATATCTATTCATATTACATTTTTTTCATAAGGATTTATAAGGCTCTGTGACACATACTAATTGTATACTGAACTAAAGTGCATGCTTGAGTGTTTATATCCTAATTTTAACTGTTTAAGACTAGTGTCATGGACCGTTTTGCACACAAGAGGTTAAAAACGTTTAGGCGATATTCCCCTTCCAGATACACAGGCAGCTACTGCAAGCACCAATCTTCCGAACTGGAAACACACAAATTCTCTAACTCCCGAACCGGAGCCATACGAATGCTGTAAACAGCCGAACAGGAAAAAACATCCGAACAGTTTACACTCCTGGCAGTCGGACTGTAACAGCATACAATCCAATTCCCCCCAAGAACGAGATGACACTTCGTTTGAGGGTCAAGCAGAACTGATTTACTGGGGCTACCTGCCCAGCTTTTATGCAGGTCTCCCACCTGGTGGACACTCCCCTAGGGGACCAGATGGGAAACTGGGACACAAAGGGTAAAAGTACCAATCACAAGCTTACACATTTAAACAGATCCCACGATGCATTGCAATTCCTCCTCTCTGTCCTGGAGATAATTGGGAAGTAATCCAATTATCTCCAAGGACAGAGGCAAAACTCCATTAGCCACATGTTCGTAAAAAGACATAAAATTACACAGTGTTACAATTACTACATAAAACATATTCATTCAACATATCCCCAGATAGCTTAGATCTGAGCGCATTATTACCGAATTGCGCTCAGATCACATACATACAGTTCAATCGCCATGGAGCCAAAGTCTTTCCCATAGTCTTTCGGTATATGAATGGGCTCCATGGCTTAACTATCTGGAGTAACACTGCTCACATAGGGAAAATAAAAGGTTTTTAATGCAGGGCCATAGTCCAGCGGCAAGATGTGGGCAACCAGGCTCCTCCAGTGGCAAGGTTGGTTCCGCCACAACTAGTGGCAGGATTAATGTGAATGCCCTGGGGCAAGAAGCTTTTTCGGACTCCTCTAGCAAAAGATAGCTCCCCATCTGCCTTACAACATTTAGAAAGATTTGCCAGCTGGGGATCTACCATGTGTCCATTCTTGCAGAGCTGTGTTTGAGAGCAGTGTTTGTGTTTTAAAGAAAGCATGTTGTTGTGTGTTTGAATGTAGGTATGTATTTGTGTGCTGTGTTGGCATTTGAATACAGTTGTGTGTACCATTACTATTTGACAGCAGTAGTGTTCTTGTCTGTAGTGTTTGTGCTTGAATGTGCTCGTATGTAGGTTTGGCATTTGATTGCTGGGATGTATGCCCATAAGCACATTTGCCCTGAAAAAACACACTGAAACACACACAGATACAAACACACTGAAATACACACTGACACATATACACAGTATGCACACATATACACAAACTCTCATATATACACATTCACACACAGACACACTGACAAATACACACACATATATATACACACTGACACACTTATTCACACATATACACATATATAACACATATACAGGCACTGACACAAACACAATTACACACAAATAATACATATACATACAAAGAGAACACACACTGACACACACTGACATATTCATATAGACATACAAAGAACACATACACTCATAAACACATTCACATACAACACATGTACACACGCTGACACATATCACAATTTAAATCTTTTTAGTCACCCTCTTCCTTCCATAATTTTTAGGTGCAGGAGGATGGCTTCTGTCTGATGAAAGTCTGGTCCAGACTCTCTCCCCCTTACTGCTTCTCCCCTCTATCTCCGTCTCTGTATCTGTCTCTCTCTCTCTCTCTCTCTGTCTCTCTCTCTAACTTCCCTTCAACACCTTGACTATACATACTAAAATATGTCTGTTATGCTGTTTAAGGCCTGCAGTACCTGATCAAAGATGGCTGGCATATAATTGCATAGGTCATAGTAATTGCATTGCAAAGATGGGCCCACTTGAGGTTGTTGGCTCCAGCAGTGGTAGTTCCATCACTTATGGTACCATACCAATGTTAATTCCAATTAGTAATTAATGCCCATATTTGAAAACCATACCAATGTTAATTCCAATTAGTAATTAATGCCCATATTTGAAAAAAAAAAAAAAAACAGAGTTTCATTTTGTTTTATAGGAGGACAGAAGGTGGACTGGGCGTTCCCAATATTTATAAATTTTATGTGGCATCAGTCTTGGCACAAACGACTGGCTTATTAAAACAAAGGGATACTCCTCAATGGTACAAAACAGAGCAGATGATATTGAACCCCTATCAGATGTTGGATCTGTAATGGGTAAAACCTTCAGGAACAACCTAAAGGGCTTAACCCGTTAGCTACAACTTATCTCTCCATACAAATGTGGAGAGAATGGGTACCAAAAATTGTGAATGTGGAAACATTCATGATATATGCACCACCAGGGAGTCTCTCATATTGTTCAGATGATTTATTTTTAGGTAATTGGATAAAGAAGGGCATCAAACATGTGCTCAAATTGTATGGTCCTAAACGTATGCAACATTTTTTTGATATACAATCAGAATATGAACTAGATAGTAGATAAATTTTTACCTACTTAAAAGTAAAACATATTCTTACGCATAGAAAGAGTAAGGTGATCATAGAGGAGGAATTAAGCGGTTTTGGGAAAGCCTGTTTGGGGAAAGCAAAACAGACCAGACTTTTATCATTATGTTACAGAAGTTTGATAGAGATGAGTAGGCCCCCCAAACTACCTTATATGATAAAATGGGAAGAGGAACTGAATTGCACTATTGAAACTGCCCAATGGTAGTCTGCAATGAAAATAACTGAAAAATCCATGCACTGTCTTGACCATATAGAAGCTATAAATAAGATTTGGATGAGGTGGTATTTAATGCCCCAAATGCCTCTCTAATATGTATGCAGGAACATCATCAGCATGTTGGAGATGTAATTTGGAGGTGGGCTCTTTAAGTCATATCTTTTGGAGCAGCTCATATCTATCTGCTTATTGGTTGTCTATTCAAAGTCTGATCAAAGAGGTAGCAGGGTACAAAATACTATTGTATACCAGCTACCTATCTTTTGCATATACTTCCCAAAGAAATCCCTCAATTAAAGGCGAATTTGATTATTCATATTTTTATAGTGGCTAAAATATGCATAGCTGGGATGTGGAAAAGTAACCAAATTCCTGATGTGTCAA